ACCCTTTTTCCTGGTAGACGGCTGACTCTGATCACCACCTTGTGTAGGAGGGGGGGACTGTGTAGGAGGAGGGGTACCAGATGAATCTGCCATATCTGTGTTCAAAGAAAAAAATAATAGTTATTAATTTAGACAATATGACTGAAGATAAACAAAAAAGTGCATACATTAAAAAATAATACATTAAAAAAAGTGCATACATTATCAAGTTGGAACATTCTCCCAAAATCCTTCCATATGGTCATAACGTGTGACATGCACATCATCTATTTCTACATTAACACTCAAGTTTGGCATATTTGAAGAGAAACATGGTGTCTCTGGTATATCAAGTACTAATTCATCATTCTCATGAGAAGTATACATGGGTTTTCCTTGTAGAACCACTGACCATCCTTTGTTAGCGGGATCGGTGACATAAAACACTTGTTTTGCCTGAGATGCCATGATAAATGGTTCTTCGGTATAACGAGTATTTTCAAGGTTAACCAAGGTAAATCCAAGATCGTCGGTGAAGATGCCAGTATTAAAATCAACCCACTTACATTTAAAAATAGGTACTGCGAATATCGTGTAATCTATTACCCAAATCTCTTCAATTACACCAAAGTAGCCCATTGACGCTGTTATTGGATATTTATCCTTTGAACTCGAGAAATGCATTGATTCGACCACCACCATGACTCCACTATTTTGCATTGTGCTTATTTCATCTTCTCCCTTTGTATAAAATGAATAGTTATTTATATCATACCCATCCCAACATATCACATCAAAGTTTGGCTCACATGCTAGCCACTTTAGTGTATCGAAGCTGTATTGTCACCTTCGACTTGTTGTTTAAACCACTTCAAAAAGCTCTTGTTGTGTTCGGTGATCACCCACTTTTTAGGCATACGTGGATTATTTCGCTTCACAATGTCTTTATGAGCACTTAAGTAGGGGATGACTTCTTCACTGTTATTCAATATGTACAAATGCGCTTGAAGTACTTCATCTCGACACATTGTCACAACTTTTGCACCTCGAGTTCCTCTACCAAGACCTATTCCATGGTAATGAGTCTTAGGTAACCCTATAGCTTCAACTTCTGATAAATATTGTGTGCAAAACTCAATAGCTTCATCTGCAATATATCTTTGAACAATTGATGTTTCAGGACGATATTGGTTCTTCACATACCCTTTTAATATCTTCATGTATCGCTCAATAGGGTACATCCATCGTAAGAAAACTGGACCACAGATTCTAACTTCCCTGGCTAGATGAACAATCAAGTGAACCATAATATCAAAAAATGATGGAGGAAAGTACATCTCAAATTGACATAATATGACTGCATGACCTCATTCTCTAGCTGATCCAAAACATCCGGGTCCATAACTTTACTACATATGGCATTAAAAAAAACATAATCGAGTTAAGGAATATCTAACATTCTCCGGTAAGATACCTCGAATAACCACAGGTAGAAGTTGTTGCATCAATACATGACAATCATGAGATTTTAACCCAAGCAATTTTAGATCTTTCATAGATACAAGTCTCTTCACATTGGAAGAGTAACCAAATGGAACCTTCACACCTCGTAAAAACTCACAAAAACTTCTTTTCTCTTTTTTAGACGAGTGTGTGACATGCTCTGGAGGCAAGTATGTTCGGTTACCATGAGGTTGAGGAGCTAATTGTTCTCTTATACCCATTTCAACCATGTCCAAACGAGCATTGACACCATCTTTTGTTTTTCCTTGAATGTTAAGGAGCGTTCAGATGATACTTGTCACACACATTTTTCTCTACATGCATGACATCTATATAATGCCTCACATCAAGAACCCTCCAATATGGAAGAACAAAAATGATTGACATTTTCTTCCATATAACTGTGGCTTTCTTTTGCGTCTTTCCAAACTCACACGAAATCGCACTTGCTCGTTGATATACTTCTTCCCCACTTAAAGGTGTTGGGGCTGCATCATTTTCTTGACACCCGTTAAATGATTTTTTTAATTTATGATATTAATGGTTTGAAGGAAGAAATCTTCGGTGTCCAAGGTACACTGTTTTCCTTCCATGTTGTAGTTGATAGTGACATGTGTCTTCTTCACATATCGGGCAAGCTTTATGTCCCTTTGTGCTGTAGCCACTCAAATTACCATATGCTGGAAAGTCATTAATTGTACAAAATAACATTGCACACAACTTGAATAAGTCACCTGTGTACCCATCAAACACATCAACACCTTCCTCCCACAACATCTTCAACTCTTCAACCAATGGGCTTAAAAAAACATCAATGTCATTTCCAGGTTGTGCGGGACCCGAGATCATCAAAGATAGCATCAAGTACTTACGTTTCATACACAACCACGGAGGTAAGTTGTAAATAACTAACACCACAGGCCATGAACTATGTTTACTTGCTTAAATTTCCATATGGATTCATTCCATCCGTAGCAAGTCCAAACCTAATGTTTCTTGGATCATTACCAAAATTCCGGAAGATGGAATCAATTTTTTTCCATTGCAATCCATCTGCTAGGATGCCTCAACTGACCATCTTTAATACGACTATCTGCATGCCATCTAGTGAGCTTTGCATCATTTCCATTAGTGAATAATCGTTTCAACCTTGGAACAATGGGAAGATACTATAACACTTTTGTCGGGGTACCCTTCATTACATCATTGTCAGAATCACCATCCTTCTTCTTGTATCGTGATTCCCCGCATTGTGGACATTCGTGAAAGTTCTCAAATTCTTTCCTGTACAACACACAATCATTCGGACATGCATGAATTATTTGGTACTCCATACCCATTGGACACAATATCTTCTTAGCATCATAATTGCGGGTTGGCAATGTGTTACCTTCAGGGAGCATGTCACTCAACAACTCAAGCAATTGCGTGAAACTTTATCAGTCCACCCATTCTTTGCCTTCACATTGAACAATTTTAGTACCGCTAGACAATCGTGTGAACTTAGTACAATTTTTATACAAAGGCTTTTTTGCATCATTGGACAACTTCTCGTACACATGTGTATGTTGGAAGACATCTTGTCCAAGCTCACGAATCATTTCCTCCAGCTGATCATCCATCTCTAGATCAACTTCTTCTTTGTCTTCTACACTTGGCATGTTTAATAATTCTCCATGCCATGTCCACTTTATGTAACTCTTTAGGAAACCATCACAAAGAACATGTTCCCGAATAACTTCAGTCAGTAATCTTCGCTCATTCAAGCAGTTAACACAAGGGCAATAGAATCTTCCATCATTATCCGGAACATTCATCTTAGCAAATTCAAGGAATTGTTCTACTCCACTCTCATATTCATTTGTTGTTCGTCTATAATTGATCCAACTCCGATCCATTGTTACCTTCTAATTTTCAAAATAACTACATTATAATACAAATCTAATTTTCAAAATCAAAATCACGAAAGAATGCCTACAGAAACACATTCAAATGACTAAACTACTTACAATACGTCTCTAAATTAGCTAAAGGCACCCGCGAACTTCCATCTCTTGACAGACATTATTACATACCAGATTAAAAAATGTAAACCTACAATGGCTAAAGCAAGCACGAAAACTTACCTCTTGAAGACCTACGAGAGGTGGCAGGTGGCGTGACGTGCGAGTTGGGTGGGGAGAAACGTGCACGGGCGACGGGCACCAACGACGGTAGTAGCGGGCGGCACGACGTACGGAGTTGGCAGGTGGCGTGACGAGCGGAGCCGGGTGGGGAGAAACGTACAAAGGCGAAGACGTTCGTAGAAGATACAGAGAGAACGGGGAGCTCTGCTATGGGTGAAGTGAGAAATGGAGTGTCGCGGGAGGTGTAGAACAGAGGATATTATGTCGGTTTCCCTAACACCCGTCATCAAATACACTTTCTATGTCGGGTAAATTATAACCGACGGGTAAATTTTAACCGACATAGAAAGTGAACTTTTCACTTACTATGTCGATTAAAATTTACCCGACATAGAAAGTTTATGATTTAATTACAAAATTGCCACCGCGCTACATACTATGACGGGTGGACTACGACCGTGATAAAAACTCGTCATAGAATGCTATTTTTCCACTAGTGAACGGAAAATATGATTGATTTGACATTTATTTACTTTTTATGTTAAAAAATGGGAAATTCTTGTATACAAAAATTGCTATTAAAAACATTTAATTTTTGAGTAATTTAAATTTAAAAAAATGTGAATATTTAATACATGTAATTTTTAAATACTTTCACACTTTTTTTTTTCATTATTAGGGAATAAATAGTTTCACACTTAACATATGAACATAGAGGTCCCTCTTTTTCCTAAACATCACTTTAATTGGAAATGGAGGGAAATAATTTAGTGCCCCACGATCTTAGGACTAGGAGTGTACATGTTACAGTTAAGCGCAACTTAGCAATTTTTTTTTTTTTCATTTTTATTCTTTTAATAATTAACTCATACCTCCCTTTCGTTGTTCTCTCTGTAACAAAGAAACGACGACTACAACCATCACCACCGCACCATTGCCACCGATCAAAACGCCGTCGTTTTGGACAAGCGTGGAGATTTATTGCGGCTTTCGATTCAATTTCACGAATTAGTGCGGTTAGTGCCAGATTCACATTTACGTAACTTAGGTACCTTCGTTTCCTCCAATTGAAGCCTCGTTGCGATTTTAGGGGGAAGATTCCCCCTATTGTACCTGCTGCAGCTTCAATTTTCGGTGCCTTAATTAACTTTTATCAGGAAAATACGTGGATTGTGTTACTGTGTCGTTTTCATGATTGATGCAGCGGTTTCTCGGAATTTGCAGTAGACGCCCGAATCGGATACCGATTAGGGTGGCGATTTCGATTCGTGTGTGGATTAGGGTTTTCGGGAAGGTTTTCGGGATTTGTAGGGTTTAAGTATGCTTTAGCTGGTGATCTAATTCAAATCAGGGCGTTTCCCCTTGGGGGGAATGATTATGGTAGGTTGAAAAATGGTGAGGATCTTAGGATTGACTCGTGGGGAGGTCGATGAACCCAGGGAAATTGTGTCGAGGTCTAATTTGACAAGTGAGTCCAGTGAAAATGGGTGGCTCATCAGGTTCTTTGACTCATCGTTCTTCTGTGAGTGGATTGCTGTTAGCTACTTGTACAAGCATGATCACTCCGGGGTGCGTGATTATCTCTGTAATAGAATGTACACACTTCCTTTGCATGGAATTGAGAGTTATTTGTTCCAAGTATGTTACATGATGATACACAAGCCAAGCCCATCTCTGGATAAGTTTGTCATAGACGTGTGCTCCAAGTCGCTTAAGATTGCTTTGAAGGTGCATTGGTTCTTATTGGCAGAGCTTGAGGACTCAGATGATAATGAAGGAATTAGTAGGATTCAGGAAAAGTGCCAGATTGCAGCCACCTTAATGGGTGAGTGGGTGCCCTTGATACGGCCCCAAAGTGCACCTACAACCCCTGGAGGCAAGAACCAAGTTTTGTATAAGATATTGTCGTCAAAACAGCGATTGTTGTCACTAACATCTTCACCGCCTACTCAGAGGTCTCTGTCATTTTCACCTTCATCAGGAAGCAACTTGCAGGAGGATGGTAGTCCGCATTCTCCTGACGAAAACAAGTTATTTAAAAAATTCATGCCGGGTTCAAAGGTTAGAGATGCTTTGCTTTTTAGAAAGTCAGGGGAGAAAGATGATGATGAGTCTGAAAAAGATGGTTTTTTCAAGAGACTTTTAAGAGATAGCAAGGGTGAAGATGAAATGGGCCAAAAGATTCGTGATGCTTTTCTCTTCCGTAAGTCTTCTGAGAAATATGACGAAGATTCTGAAAAGGATAATTTCTTTAAAAGGTTCTTAAGGGATGGCAGAGGGGATGATGAAGAATCTGAAAAGGATGGTTTCTTTAGAAGGCTTTTAAGAGACAGTAAAGTTGAGGATGAGGATCTGCCCTCTAGTTCAGAGGGATTCTTTAAGAGATTGTTTCGGGATAGCAAGAATGATTCTGAGGATAGAACGCCCAATAAGACCATGGAGGATGAAGAAAAAGAGGGGTTTTTTCGAAAGTTTTTCAGAGAGAAACCTGAGGATAAGAAGGATGGGAATGATGTAGGAGATATTGCAAATTCTGAAGAGAAATGTGCAAAGCCTGCTGAAGAGGATGAAAAAGAAGGGTTTTTCCGGAAATTCTTTAAGGATAAATTTGATGACAAGAAAGATACAGGTGACAAAATTGAAGATGGTACAACCAATGCTGAAGAAGAACCTTCTGAATTTTCTTTGTTCAAGAGAATTTTTCGTGTCCATCCTGAAGACAGTAAAAGTAGTTCACCCAGTGAAAGCAATGGTGGTTTGTTTGAAAGTAGTCCAGGTACTGAGAATTTTTTCCGCAAATTGTTCAGAGACCGTGACCGATCAATTGAAGATTCTGAGCTATTGGGGTCAAAAAAGCAGAAAGAGGTGTGTTGAATACACATTAACCATTACATTTAGTTTATATGTGTATGTTTATTGTAAAATAAACATTGCGAATTGAATACATGTTAAGGCACCCTAAATAACATTTTTTCAACTATACGGCTTAATGCCACCATGACATCTAATACAAATCATTTTACAGTATCCATCTCGATTCTAACATTAGTTACATTTTTAGCAACCTCATTAGTGGCTCACCCCAAATAACTTTTTTTTTTTCAACTGTATGAAAGGCTTAATGCCACAATAACATCTGATACAATCATTTTCCAGTATCCATCTCAATTTTAACATTGATTACATTTTAAAAAACAGTCATATTATGGGCATGGCTGCATGACACATTGCACTCGTGATGGATGCCTAAGCTTTTGTTTGGATGTGAAGGTGAATTTGAGGGAGTGAAAATGAGTGAATTTGAGAGGAAAGAGAGGTAAAAGTGGAGTTGTTTGGGTTATGAGAAAAATGATGAGAAATGAAAGGAAATGAGAAGAAAGTTTATGAAAGTTTGTGAGTGATGTGATTGGTTTAATAGATTAAAAAATAAGTAATAAATAAATAAAAATAAAAAAAATTATTTATTTTTTATAAGTTTATTTATTATTTTTTAAGTATTTATTATAATTATAATTTTTTTTAATTTTTTAAAATAAAAATTATTACATAATCAATTATTTGATTTTAAATAATCCATTTTGCAGTATTTTGGTGTCTTTTATCGCAAAAAGGAAGGGATGAATCTTACTTTCAATGCATTTCCTTCTTTACTGTCTTTCCTTCCGCAGAACGAAACTCACCCTAAGAGATGATTGTAGCTGTGAACTTTGTTTTCACATTCTTCATACTTCTGCTGGTTTTAATATTAGAGACATGGTGATTTCCCATATAAAATTTTATGCATTCACTGGATTTTTCATGTTTCTTTGGCAGAAGCATCCCGGATCACCAAAGCAGCGAAATGAGAAATCAAGAACAAAACCCCCGCTTCCAATGAATCCATCACAGTTCCGTAAAGGAGCTTACCACGAATCATTGGATTTTGTGCTTACATTATGTGAGACATCTTTTGGGCTAGTGGATGTATTTCCAGTAGAAGATCGCAAAGATGCCCTGCATGAGGTTATTTCCTTACATTTTCCTTTAATGTTTAATCGAATGATTCTGACAAGTACATATCCTTTGTTATTCTTGTGGTTTAAGTCGCTTGCAGAGATCAACTTACATTTAATAGAGGCTCAGAATACTGGAGGTACTTCTTAACTCTTAATGGTAGTATTTAGTTATGCTAATTGGATTAAATGGATTATACCAATATTTCGTCATGTGTTCCATCTGAGCACATTACTTGTTATGGCCAAAGAGTTTGCAAATTTTCTGAGCCAGTATTTTAGTCCTAAGGAAGATATGGAGTTGGGGGTAGTAAAAGAGAGATTGCACAAGGTAGTGGAGTTAGTTACAGGGAATATAGGAGGTTCACATCATGAGGGAGGGGGATTGGTTACAATTCTGTTTTTATCATTCAGCTATAGCTTGGCAGAGGTATTAGTCACCTCTGAAGGAGTTGGGGTTATAGGAGGATACTCTTGTAATATATGATGCGCGAATACTTTGGAAAGGCCAACGTATCGGATACGTATCCGATACTGATTCACTCCGATACTTAAAAAATTCGTATCGAAAAAGAATCATAAAAAAAAAGCCAAACAAAAATAAAATAGTTATTATTATTGTTAAATTAATCAAAACAGATTTGAATTATTTAAATATTTATCAAAACAGATTTTAATTATTTAAATACGTATCTCTTTTCCCCTAACATTTTATTTTCTGAGTGCTTATAGTTTCATGTTGTTACTGTCGTTTATTTCTCTTTGATTTTCCCTCGCTCCCTCTGTCATGGGTTTGTTTCTTATCTGTTCCCGCATTTGTTTCTCTTTGTTTTTTTTTTCGCTCCCTTCGTCTTCCAACGTGAAACTTTCCTTTTTATTTTCGTGTTCTAATATGTGAGATTGCTTTCCTTTTTCTTTAGTGTGTGTAACAACTCTACTATCTTCTAGAGTGTTCCAACGTGAGTTGGTGTGTGCAACACTTAGAGTGACAACATTATCTCTTGATGAACCATACATAAAAGTTGTTTTATTTATTGATGATCCTCAAGGAGGATATGAAATTGATACTATTTCTATTTCTAAACACTAAGTAGTTATTGTTAACTTTTATTTTACATTTCAATTTTTTTAAAGTCATATATACATTTAAAAATATATTTAATGTGTTCAACTTAAATAATATTTAATAATTATATATAATTTTTTTTATGAATTATATATATATATATATATATATATATATATGTATATGTATATGTACATGTATCTTAAACGTATCGTATCTTATATTTTAATATAAGACAAATCGCAGTAGCTGTGCATCATAGCTTGTAATCAATCATACTCAGAAAATAATACATCATTTGACACCAATTTGTCATTTGGTTCCAAACATAGTGATGCCATCTTCCGAGGTGAAAGAGGTTACATGTTTATTTTTCTTCTTTGTTTCGATATAACAGTGATAGTCAAGCAGATTGGTGGTGTTTTTCTTTTCATGTGATGGGGAAAATGGTGAAGAAAATTCTATACATGATCATTTCTTGTGTTTCAATTCTCTAGGAGGAATTAATGTATGAAAGCTACCATTTTGGTGTTTAATAGGAGCCCATTTTTTCAAGGATTCAGTGATATATTATGTAATTGAAATAGTTGTCTCTTGTAGTTTTTACTTTCTGTTTGGACTTTGGATAGGTGCAAAGAAGTCAAATGGAATGGAATGATACTAGTTTCCATTGTTAGAGTTGCTTATAATAGGATGGGATGGAGCAGAACATAATGGAATGCATTCCATCTTATTCCATTCAATATCCTTTTTTCTCTATCTCTCTCTCTACAATTTAGGGGATATAAAGTGAAAGCATTTTCTATCTCACCATAAAAATATTTTAACAATGGAATGGTAACTTTTTTCCATTTGTTCCTCGGCCTTTGAGGATGTAAAGACTCCTTGAAAGGCCTAAAAGACTCTTTTTTATAACTGTCCTTTTCTAATCGTTTCTTCACAACTTTACTGCTGTAGCACTGGATTCCCATGCTCTGGTAGGTGTCTCTAGAGAGAAATTTCGTGATCAGTTTCCAGTGCTCCAACATCTTGCAATTGAATATTTAAAGAGTATCCTAGGCTTCAATATCAATTTTCAATATGCCATGACATCAAGTCTTCACTGCTATGGTCTATGGCATTGGATCATGCTTCTTCCCTTTTCTTTGATAATTAGCTTTATGGAACAACAAGAGCAAGTATTAAATTCAAAGCATTTAAGATCTACCTTGTGATAAAAAAATAATGAAAACTTGTACAAGAGCTAATTACTAAGCATGAAATATTGTCTTTGAACCTAGTTATCATATGTAAAATGACTGAAGTTTCTAATCTAGATATATTCCATTCCACTCAGTGACTCACCATTAGATGACCTAACAGTACCTAAAAATATGCACTTTTGGTGTAGTATCAATTATGTTTTGCATTCCCTTTACTAGTTTGCTTACAGCTTTCATTTATCTTGCTTTTATATGAGTCTTGTTTTTCCAATATTCCTAGGAGTTTGTTTTCCTCTGGGAAAGGGCATGTACCGTGTGCTTCATATACCAGAAGATGAAGCTGTTCTCTTGAATTCTAGGGAGAAGGCACCTTACTTGATTTGTGTTGAAGTTTTGAGATGTGAAATGCCAAGGTATTACTTGGATAATAGTCCTCATGTCTTGTGCAAAATATTGCATTTGTAAAATGCAAACCATATTTCTGATATAATGCCCTTCCTGCAAAACATTTGTTATAGCAATTCCAAGGAGACATCTAGTTCTCAGAAACTTTCAAAAGGGGGCATCCCTTTGGCAAATGGAGATGCTTTCTTGCAAAAACCACCCCCTTGGGCATATCCATTATGGACAGCTCAAGAAGCATATCGCAATAGCAATGATAGAATGTCCAGATCAACTGCTGAGGCCATTGACCAGGCAATGACCCATGTGTCTGACGCAAGAGTCAAATTTGTTAGTGTGAATCTTTTTGTGGTAGCTCCATTACATGGTCAGTCAGAGAATAATGAAGCAGATCTATGTGGTGGCAATAGGCATCCTTCAATGTACAGAGATGGTATACAAGATGTGGCAAGGTCGGGACCTGACAGTGATATGGAGTGGGTGCAGGTAGTGTTGAAAGCTGATCCTGGGCTAAAAATGGAAGATATTGAGGAACAAACACCAAGACGGCGGAAGGAACATCGACGTGTACCAAGTACAGTGGCAATAGAGGAAGTAAAGGTAAGTCTTTGTGCTCCGTTTAGGGTATTGATGCTGTTATCCATCACATGATAAAGAACATGAAAATTTAAACTATGAACACACGCAGAACACAAATTCTTAGTAATATATTAACCAATAGTATGAGTTATGTAAAGTCATTCTGTTCAGGGAAAGGTTCTACTTTTCACAGCATGACGAGCAGTGTATGTTTAGATTGGATTATTTTTAGAAATTATTTCAATAATCAATTGTTGTTATAATCAATTATATGAAATAAGTTTTATGTTTAAATATATTGGTGAAAAGTAGATTTATATAATCTATGTTGTTTGGATTGTCTAAAATACTCCTTTTTTATAGTAAAATTACAAAAAAAAGAAGAAGCTATTTGTATGTATTTAAATTAATAAATTTCTGATAAAATGGGAAAGCAAAAGTTAGTTAGAAAATAATCTGTTAGCTTGTATTCGTTATCTCCAAAATCTTGCTCATTTGAGATAAAGTTTTTCTTTGTAGTAGAAATAATCTAAGATTATAATATAATTTTCACCAATAGTACCTAACAAGAGAGAATATGATTATAAATAGTTTATGTGTATGTGTATGTATATATATATATATATATATATATATATATATATATATATATGAGAGAGAGAGAGAGAGAGAGTAATCTCTAGAACTAATCAAATCCAAACATATACAATATAAATATATGATAGGTTTGAATGAGATCATATCTCAAGACAAATTGATTGTTCATGTCTTTATCTGGCATTTCCGATTTCAAATTACTATTTTGTTTTTGCTAACATTTTAAATTTGCTAGGCTGCGGCAGCAAAGGGAGAAGCACCCCTTGGACTGCCTTTGAAAGGTGCTGGTCAAGATTCATCAGATGCACCACCAAGGGTAGGACAATACTGTGTAAGTTCTGTTTTATTTTTAGCCTAGAAATATGAAGTTGTTATACATGACATGATTCCTCTAAACAGGCTAACGGCATTACCCCCAAAGCTAGTGATGCCTTGTCTGGTGAACTTTGGGAGGTAAAAAAAGAGAGGATCCGTAAGGCTTCAATCCATGGGAATGTACCTGGTTGGGACTTGCGATCTGTAAGTATTTTTATGAATCCAAAGAATTTGCTTTATTTGTTTTTATTTTCTAATGTCATGAAGACCTGAATATTGTAAAATAGAAATGAAACACATTACACACATATCTGTCACCTAAAGAAATGTGTTTTGTTTATTTACTAGTTTTCTATTCGAACTGTTATCCAAGTCAAAAAATAATGTTTTGCAATTGTAATTATATATGAATTATAATTTCTAGAAAGGCTGGGGAATATGTTGTTATATAGCCACTATAGTGCTGATATTGCATTGTGGAATTCCTCTGATCTGTGATTGCAACTCTGTCCGCTGTCATAGCTGTGGCATGTATCCGGCATCCTCTTGTCATCTCTGGCAAACCACTGTCCAATTGAATTTTTGAGTTAATATAGTGCCAATTTTAATGCATTTTATTTTTACTTGCATACAAATTAGTCTTATATATATGTAAATAATTTATTTTCAACTGCTTTCTAACTTCCGCTATTTTCCCGAGACACTATCCACCATATGATGTAGTGGATTATTGGCTTTCCACCATTTTCGTGATTTTCATTTGATAATGTTGGTCGAGAGTTTTATACTGTTATACATTGTTAAGGTTTCAACATAAAACCAATTGGCAATATGTGGAGTAGCCTAATTTGTATTTAAACCATACTAAATGACATGAGACAGACGATGTGAGACTTCTAACACGCCCCTTCTAACAAAGCCTGCCGGACCAGGCAAAGGGTACTTTGACCCACAACGAAAGGGCAACTCTTGGCCCAAGACAATAACCGGAAAGATGTTAGGCTTTAGCTCTGATACCATGTTAAGGTTCCAACATAAAACCAATTAGCAATATGTGGAGTAGTCTAACTTGTTTTTAAACCATACCAAATGACATGAGGCAGACAATATGGGACTTCCAACATACATCATATTTGTTAACGTAATGTACTGCATTGAATCCTTTTATGAAAAATATTGCATTCAAAGTAATTTCTAAATAATGAATCCTTCCTCTAAAATTCTTGAATTCCTTTAAGCAAAGGATTGGGTTCAAGTCTTATGTACAGAATAATCTGTGCTTGGATAGGTAAGTCCCATCATAATGTGAATGTTCACACCTTAAAATTGATAGCTTCGTGTGAAAAATACTTGAGGGCTAGACCAAATAAATGTTTTGTAAAATTTGGTTTAACACTATCAATGAAAGAATAACCTGAAATAATATTCTGTGGATGTGTAACTATAAGAAAGCTCAAGACAACATTTTTGACAAGTTAGCTTTTTGTACACATTATGTATAAAATCATGCAGTGTCAAGTGCGATAAATCATTTATTGGTCCCTATAACCAAATAATCATGCACTATATAATATCGCACCAAATTCAACATTGCTTTGATATTTTCTTTATCAATTTTGTGTGATAGGGTTAATGATTAACTGTACCAAATTCTGCATGCATAGTTTCACTACAAAAAAGTCAGTTTGGCACTGAAGACTCTTTTTGGTACAATGGGCTAACCATGGAAATGTTGTCTATACATTGCCATAAAAAAAGTATTTCCTTCATGCTTTGAGTGATGTTAGAGATTTTGACATTTGCTTTCTGCGTATTATGATAGAAGTCAAATTAGAGTCAAGAATGAGAGTATATATTCATAGCAATCAAAACCTAGATTTTTCCAATTTGTTGAAAGCTGCTGATATGAACAGAAAAGAATTGGACAGGATTGGAAAATGAATAGAATTTAGAAAGATAATTTTGAGGTATTTTTGTAACAAAGGTTTTCGAGAGTTTGTCTCTCCACAACACAATTCCTTCCTAATTTCTTTTGTCTTTCCTAATCTAGATTACTTCTATTTATATTGTTTCGGACAACCGTTCCTAATTGATACTACTTTTCCTAATGGTTGTATCTCTATTCTAAGGGTTATGCCCCTTAATTCGCATCCCTTGACTTTATACTCCTTGGATGGGTTGTAGCTGTTGGGTGTTTTGTATCATTTGAATGTTGGGTGCCTTGTTGCTGGTGGTCTATGATTGTTGCTTTTTTTTGTTTGTTTCTTGCGGTTATATATCTTAGTCATAGATGGTTTATTCTCAATACAGTTGTGTAGTGTAAATTGTGGTCAGTTTTTGTTCAAGATTAGTTATTTGATTATTCTATTTGAGGATGTATGCTTTAAAATCACAAATCTTTTGAACATGATAGCTCACTTTCCTCTTTATCATAGGTTATTGTAAAGAGTGGGGATGATTGTAGGCAGGAGCATCTGGCAGTTCAACTTATTTCACACTTTTATGGTAGGTGGTCTCTTTCAGACTTTTCCTATGCCCCCTCATATTCAGAACTTACCAGTCCTGTACCAATGTTGTTTGATGTGCTGCAAAAAGTACTTTTTCCTTTTGCGATTGTTTTGTCTGTTGGTGTGTGTTTTCCATGACAATAATATTCCATGACAATACTTTTTTCCTGCATACTAATTTGTTTATAGCACTGGCTTCCTTTTTTGGATTAAATTTCATCTTTAATATCTGTTGGTTTTGTAATTTGGCTATGCTTTCATGTATTGAGTATGCTCTTAATGACAGAAATTTTTTTAGCATGTGTAAATTCTTCTGACTGATAACCTGTTATTTCATTGGTTATGCTTTCTGCATTTGCTATGAGTATAGCATGAGTGATGAATTGGACCTTGCAGTGTAGGGAGGAGAAAGTGGAATGTGAAAATACCTAAACAATAAAACTCATATTTAGCTATTTCATTTCCTTTCTATTCACACTCCTCCTGGATCCAAAGCAAGCCTTAAGCTGGCAAGCATGTGTACTTCAGGAATTTAATCTCTCTATTTGACTGTTAAATGGGAAATCTGGCTAAAACAAGTCATTAAAGATCCTATTCTTCTTTCTACAAACAAATGTATGTTTTTATGATCTCTGTTTAAGTTTCATCTTCAATGTGAACCTTGAGACATGTTAAATGTGCTTGATTATAGTTGTTAATGCAGTAGTTGTGAATTGATGTGGAAGGATGTAAAAGCAAGAATGGAATTTTCTATTTACACCTAAGATTTGTTGATGATGCATGATTGAATCTTATTTTACTATATTCTTATACCAGGTTACTCTAGTAGGATGCAGCAGACTCTTCTCTGTGTTTCTTGTCATGTTGCTTACTATCATTACGTTTTATGCCAGATATTTTCCAAGAAGCTGGCCTACCACTCTGGCTACGCCCGTATGAAGTGTTATGTACTTCTTCTTACAGTGCTCTTATTGAAACAATTCCTGATACGGTGATTCCATGATAATATACTTAATATTTGTTAAAAATCTACATTTTTTGTCTTTACTAATTATTAAATGTATGTGGTTTGTAGGCTTCTCTACATTCTATAAAGAGTAGATATCCCAACATCTCAAGTTTACGTGAATTTTTCATTGCCAAATATCAAGAAGATTCTCCAAGTTTTAAACTTGCCCAGGTAATGAAGTGATTCAAAGTTTGACTGTATTATTGCGTACTGTCCTTGTTCATCTTATAAGTTGCAATACTTAACTGAACATGTGTTCCACTTTCTAAAATACCATTTGACATTTCAATTTCATGTTTTTCTTAAGTACACAGGTAAAACATTTACATAAAGAAAATAGCTCAATTGAAATATGTTATCATGGCTATTTATTTTCCTTAGTTTATCTGAGGAGGTTTTTTTATCTTTCTTTGTCACAAGATCGCAAATCCACCTCATGAGCCATGACTAATGCTGACGCCAAATATTAAATTCTAAGTCAACCTTGCAAACCTGGCCACAAAAGAGGATTCCAAAATACTAACTTCGTATAAATACTAACATATGTTGAGATCTATTGTTTATGTATCTTTTAGTATTCTTTTTCAATGTTCCTTAGACTAGGGTTAAGGGTTTGGACCGAGGTCCATATCCTCTCTATTGTACCCCTTTTTCTACAAATACAATGTATCAGTGTCTTTGGTCATTGCATCAAACCCTAAATAATTTTTCTCAAGTTGGTATCAGAGCGGGTAAGATCCCGCACTGATTTCCGGCCGCCTTTGTCACGCGCGGTCATCCTGGTGAGCCCTCTCAGGTGCGTGTGTCCCATGCGCTGCCTTCTAGTGGCCGGAATCAAGGCCGACCACCTCCGTTTGACTCCCCGATGTCATCCGAGTCCAATAGTGCCCTTAGTTTTCTGGTTTGAGAACTGTGTGAAAAGTCCCGTGGGTAACCCTATTCGGTGGCTTTATTCATCTTTTCTAGTTCAGATGCCCTCATCCTCTACTACTCCCACCATAACTAGTGCCAGACTCAACTGGAAAAATTACTTATCCTAGTCTGCTTCAGTTGAGCTGTGGTTTCTCGGTTAAGGGCATCACGACCATTTGGAGAAGGATGTAGACTCTATTTCCGCTGCAGAAAGGTCTCAGTGGGAGAAAATAGACTTCTAATTTTGTGCAATCTTATGGAAGTCTGTGGAACCAGATGTTCTTGAGCTTCTTAGGTCATTCAAAACCTGTTCTTCTTTTGGAAAAAGGCTCAAGACATTTTTGCTAATGATATTCAACGTCTCTTTGATGCAACTCAAAGAGTGACGTCACCTAAGCAGACCAATCACGACATGATGGCTCACACCCCAAAAGCTAGGGCTGCTGTGGAAGAATTAAAAAGGTTTATTGTTGCAAATACCTTAGAGGAATTAAACACCAAACTCGATAAACTATATATAGTTCTAATTTTGAGAATTCTACATTCTGACTTTAATCACGTGCGTGATCAAATCCTAGCTGGCGATCATGTTCCATCACTGGATAATCTTGTCACTAGGTTGATTCGGGTTCCTAATCTCATGGTTGATGAGAATCAGGTGGAGACTATTGAAACTTTTGCTATGGTTGCCCCTTGGGGTCGAGGGGGAGGACGCAACAATCGAGGTGGACGTGGTAGTTCGAAAGTTTGTCCTCAATGTACCTATTGTAAGAGGATGAGACACACATAGGAAAATTGTTATTCCTTGCATGACTTTCTTGATAAGATTGCCCATGCATCTGAATCGGAGAAACCAGATATGAAGATTTCTGATGAGGAGTATCAGGAGTTTTTGAAGTTCAAATCTGGAAAGTTTAATAGTTAGGGTCAATCCTTTTCAATGCGAAGTGTTTCAACTGCATGCATTTCTCAATCTGTTGAAGGTCAGAACCCATGAATTCTTGATTTAGGTGCCTTTGATCATATATCTGGTAATAGTTCACCGTTTTCCTTCATGTCCTATCCTAAAATTCCTCACGTAATCACTGTAGCTAATGGATCCAAAGTGAAATCTCAAGGTGTTGGCTAAGCTCCTCTAACCTATCTCTAAATTTAAATTATGTTCTTTTCATTCTTAATTGCCCTTATAATTTGATCTCTCTAAGTCAACTTACTCGTTCTTTGAATTGTTCTGTAACCTTTACTTCCAATTCTTTTGTTATTCAGGAATATGATACAGGTCGTCTGATTGGAGAAGGATATGGATCACGTGGTCTATACTATCTAAAATCAAGTCCTTCGGTGTCTTGTCTGGTTTCTCCTGCCCCTAAACTTTTGCATGATCGTCTGGGTCACCCAAGTCTATCTAAGTTGAAAGTGATGACTCTTAATCTTCAACATCTTCGAGTTTTAGAGTGGGAATCTTGTTAATTAAGAAAACATGTTAGGTCTATTTTTCCTAAATAATGTGAAACTTGATGTAATTTTCCTTTTTCAAATATTCATTTTGATGTTTGGGGACCAAGTCGTGTTTCCTCTTTTGGCTTTCAGTATTTTGTGACCTTTATTGATGAATTTTCTAGATGTACTTGAGTTTATTTGATGAAACAACAAATCTATTCCTCATAATGTTCATGAGGCACTTGATCACTGTTAGATATTGTTTAGATATTATTTAATATTGTTAAGATATTGTTAGATATTAACCATAATATCAAACAATATCTTCTGTTTATTCTGTTACTTTCAGTTACTTTTTTAGTTGTATCTCTCTACTATAAATAGATTACCCTATGTGTGATTTATACACAAGGGAGATTAATCCCAAACTCTATTTCTTCTATATTCAACATGGTATCTAGAGCTTAAGGTTATTTTGAATTTTTTTTCGCCTTTGACCACTATTGAAGCCGCCACCACCGCCGCTATCGTCGTCGGTTATTTGGTAGTGTGAAAGTGCATGTCTAGGAAAGTTCGACAAGGAAAGACTTGGTATTTAAGCGTGTCCATTAGTGACCCACCTCTCTTTCCCGGGAACTTACCCGGTGTACTCGGTTCACGCCGTCGTCACTATCGCCTCCGCCCTTTATGAGTTCTTCCGCTCCTTTTAGTACTTCCAATTCACGTCGATCTTGCGTCGATCCTTCCATCTACACTAACTATGTTAATGTGCACTTATCCATTGACAAGTTAACTGACCCTAATTATGCCACATGGTCATCAGACGTCAGATTATGGCTTAAGAGTTAGAAGTATCTTGATCATCTTACCCCGAAAGCACCTACTCTCACTCCCGGTGAGGAAGACCGTTGGGACACCATTGATGCTCAATTATGCGTGGTTCTCAAGGGTACTCTTGATCCTTCGTTAAAACAAATTTTTCGTTCCTACGAAACATGTGCCAAAATCTGGGAACATGCCAAATTATTATACACCAATGATACTCAACGTCTCTATGATGTCTATTCTAAATTTGTAGATGTTATTGCCTCTAAACATCAAGATTCTATGACTGATTATATGGGCAAAATTCATGCTCTTTTTCATGAGTTCAATGAGTTATTGCCTCCTTCCCCCGACCCTGCCACCGAGATAGGACAACGATCAAAGTTCTTTATGCTAGGGGCATTACACGGACTTGCTGATCAATATTCACATATTCGTGATCAGATTTTGGGTTCTCCGGTTGTCCCCACCTTGACATCGACCTGCTCCACTCTTTTGCGTATACCAGCAAAACCCAACCCTGACACACCTACTTCTGTTAATAATTCTTCTGCATTGGTATCTCACTGTGATGATCAAACTCGCCCTCGCAAACAGGAAAAAGGGCGTCCAAAGTGTGAACATTGTGGCAAGCTAGGTCACAAGATTGACTAGTATTATGCATTACATGAGTGTGGACATTGTGGCAAACTAGGTCACAAGATTGACAAGTGTTATGCATTACATGGTCGTCCTACTCGATCTATTGCAGTTGCTCAGACTGATTTTTCCCCACCTTTATCTGCTAAGGATCCTCCTTCTTCTATTTCATCAGACACACCTGCTATGTTCAACAAATTTCTCAAATGGTATAAGGATCAACAGTCTTCTAGTTCCACTGTGTCTGTCGCACACACAAGTACATCTTTTGCTGGTCTGACCCAATCTTCTTCTGGTCCTTGGGTTTTTGATTTAGGAGCCACTGATCATATTACTGGTAACAAATCTTTGTTCTCCTCTTTATCCTCTCCTGATCCTTTACCTTTTGTTACACTAGCTGATGGCTCTAGAGTATCATCTCATGGTGTTGGAACGGTTAAACTTTTCCCTTCTTTAACCATTGATAATGTTCTTTATGTCCCTGGGTCTCCTTTTAACCTGTTATCCATCAGTCGTCTAACTCGTTCTCTTGATTGTGCTGTTTCTTTTACCAACAATTTTGTGTGTTTATAGGACCGGAGTTTGAAACAGGTGATTGGCACAGGATGTGAGTCTCATGGTCTTTATCATCTTCGTCCCTTTACACATGTTGATGCAGTTATAGAGTCTCCTCTCTTCTCCACGCTCGCTTAGGTCATCCAAGTCTTGCCAAGTTACGAGCAACTTGTCCCCGCCTTATCTAAATTGTCTAGTTTGACATGTGAGTCGTGTCAATTAGGCAAGCATAGTCGTACTTCCTTTCCTCGTAGTGTCACACGTGGTGCTTCGTCCCCTTTTGCCGTGGTTCACTCTGACATTTGGGGACCTAGCCGCGTTAAGTCTACTTTAGGTTTTCAATACTTTGTTACTTTCATTGATGATTATTCCAGATGCACTTGGTTATTTTTGATGAAAAATCGTTCTGAATTATTTCATGTCTTTCAAACTTTTTTCAATGAAATTCAAACTCAGTTCGGTGTTTCTATTAGAGTTTTGCGCAGTGATAATGGTCGTGAATATCTTTCTCATTCTTTTAAACAATTCATGGCTTCTGTTGAAAGTCCCACATCGCCTACCTCATATCATTTGGTATGGTTTAAATACATGTTAGGCTACTCCACATATTGCCAATTGGTTTTATGTTGGAACCTTAACATGGTATCAGAGCCAAAGCCTAACATCTTTCCGGTTATTGTCATGGGCCAAAAGTTGCCCTTTTGTTGGGTCAAAAGTACCCTTTGCCTGGTCCGGCAGGCTTCGTTGAAGGGGGTGTGTTGAAAGTCCCACATCGCCTACCTCATATCATTTGGTATGGTTTAAATACATGTTAGGCTACTCCACATATTGCCAATTGGTTTTATGTTGGAACCTTAACAGCTTCTCATGGTATTTTGCATCAAACTTCTTGTGCTTATACACCTCAACAAAATGGTGTAGCTGAACGTAAAAATAGACATCCTAGAATTGATTATATTTGTAACAAGCTTGGCACATACAATTTGTATGCTCCAACTTGAGGGGGAGTGTTAGATATTGTTTAGATATTATTTAATATTGTTAAGGTATTGTTAGATATTAACCATAATATCAAACAATATCTTCTGTTTATTCTGTTACTTTCAGTTACTCTTTTAGTTGTATCTCTCTACTATAAATAGATTACCCTATGTGTGATTTATACACAAGGGAGATTAATCCCAAACTCTATTTCTTCTATATTCAACAATCACCCTGGATGACGACAAACCATGATTGATGAAATGCAGACACTTAAGCATAATGACACTTGGGAGTTTGCTCCTCTTCTTCCTGGAAAAAAAGATGTAGGCTGTAGGTGAGTCTATGTAGTTAAAGTTGATAATAATGGTAAAGTGGATTGTCTTAAAGCTCGTTTAGTAGCTAAAAGCTACACTCAAATGTATGGCATCAACTACTGTGATACGTTCTCTCCAGTAGTTAAGATTTCCACTATTCGTCTTTTCCTTGCTATGGCTGCGATTCGACATTGGCCCCTTCACCAACTTCATGGTGACCTTGAGGAAGACATTTATATAGAACAACCTCCTGACTTTGTTGCTCAAGGGGAGTCTGGTTTAGTGTGCAAGTTACATCGATCTTTTTATGGCTTGGAGCAGTCCCCCCGAGCTTGATTTGGAAAATTCAGTCATGTTGTGTAGTTGTTTGGCATGAAAAGGAGTGAAGTAGACCACTCAGTGTTTTATTGTCTTTCCTCTTCAGGTAAGTGTGTTTATTTTATGGTTTATATTGATGATATTGTTATTATAGGCAATGATTATACTAAGATCAACCAACTGAAGAATCATCTCTTTGTTCACTTCCAAACCAAAGATCTTGGTCAATTGAAATATCTTCTTGGTATTGAAGTGACCCAATCAAAGGAAGGTATGATTGTCTCTCAAAGGAAGTGTGCTCTTGATATTCTGAAAGAGACTGGTCTAACAAATTGTAAGCCCATTGATACTCCAATGAAACCTAATCAGAAATTGAAGAAGGATGAAGGAGAAAAGTTATCAGATCCAGAAAGATACAGGAGGTTGGTTGGTAAACTCATTTATCTTACTATTACTAGACCGAATCTTTCTTATGCAGTTGGAGTAGTTAGCCAATTCTTGCAAAATCTTTGTGTTGATCACAGGGATGTCTTGATTCGCATTCTGAGATATATTAAAGGGGTCCCAGGAAAGGGTTGCTATATGAAGATAAAGGTAAGACTCAAATTTTTTGTTATTGTGATGCAACCTAGGTTGGTTGTCCAATTGATAGAAGATTGACTACTGGGTATGGTATCTTTATTGGAGGGAATTTGATTTCTTGGAAGAGTAAAAAACAAAGTGTTGTTGCTCGATCTAGTGCAGAAGCTGGGTATAGATTTATGGTACTTGCTACATGTGAACTTGTGTGGATCAAACAACTCCTTTAAGATTTAAAATTTTGTGATATTGGGCAAATGAAATTATTGTGTGATAATCAGACAGCTCTCCATATTGCCTCAAATCCAGCCTTTCACGAAAGAACAAAACATATTGAGATTGATTGTCACTTTGTTAGAGAGAAGTTGTTGTCTAAGGAACTTGTAACTGAATTTGTAAGCTAATTTGTAAGCTCCAATGAGCAACTGACAGATATTTTAACTAAATCCTTAAGAGGACCTAGGATTCAATTCATTTGTTCCAAGCTTGGTACATACAATTTGTATGCTCCCGCTTGAAGGGGAGTGTTGAGATCGGTTGTTTATGTATCTTTTAGTATTCTTTTTCAATGTTCCTTAGACTAGGGTTAAGGGCTTGGGCTGATGCCCATATCCTCTCTATTGTACCATTTTTTTATAAATACAATATATCAGTGCCTTTGATCATTGCATCGAACCCTAAATAAGTTTTCTCAAGTACATCTATGTTAAAAATTAAAGATTCTACTGACAATCCAACATAATCTCCTTTGAAATCCAATTTTTATGAGACCTAGCAAGCATCCCAGAACAAAATCACATTTATGTTATTAACCAAGCGGTATTCTTTTTTCTTTTCTTCTCCTGCTTAATCCTGTCTGTGATTTGTTGCTTCTGCTGCCCCATCTCCCCTTTTTTGTTTTTGGCATAATTTTCTAGTGTGATTTTGATAAGAATAAACCACCTATCACTAAGATATACACCTGCAAGAATCAAACAAAAGAAGCAATAATCCTAAACCATCAACAACAAGGCACATAACACTTAAAGGATGCAAAACACCTAACAGTTACAACCCATCCAAGGGGTTTAAACTCAAGGGATGCGAATCAAGGGGTATATCCCTTGGAGGAGAGATACAACCATTAGGATAAGTTGTATCATTTAAGAATGGTTGTTAGAAGCAATATAAATAGAAGTAATCCAGATTAGAAAAGGCAAAAAGGAAATTAGGAAGGAATTGTGTTGTGGAGAGACAGACGCTCGAAAATCTGTTATAAAAATATCTCAAAATTATTTTTATAAATTCTATTCATTTTATTAATTCAATCCAGTTCTTTTCTGTCCATATCAGATTTCTTGCAGTTTTTGAGTTTAAAGGGATATCCCCCTACTCCCCTTTTTCTTTTGAACGTTGTTCCTTTCATCATTTAATAAGTCTGTTATATAGTGATAAGCACCTTTATTTTATGTTAAAAATAAATATAATATCATTTGGTTCAATCCTCGATGATTAGTTTATATATTTTTGTTTCAGAGGAACTTTGTAGAAAGTATGGCTGGTTATTCCCTGGTTTGCTACCTACTGCAGGTGTGAAACATTTTATTATGCACATGCATACAGTTTCTATAACTGGTGTATTAGCTGCTTAAATTGCAATTCAAATCAAATTATTTTACTGTTTGTTGTTATTGAAGGTTTTCTACGTGCTTCTCACTTTTGCTGTTTTTTAATTTAATCCAGGTGAAGGATAGGCATAATGGGAACCTCTTAATGGATGAAGAAGGTCATATTATACATATTGATTTCGGCTTCATGCTTTCTAATTCACCTGGTGGTGTTAATTTTGAAAGTGCTCCTTTCAAATTAACCCGAGAGCTTCTTGAGGTAATACTGAAACTAAATTTGTTAATCTACACCTTTTTTTTAGTGTCCATTTGATCATGTAGACATTTACTAGCTTTCTTCTACCTAACAGAAATAATGTGATTGTGCCAGGTCATGGATTCTGATGCTGAGGGAATTCCAAGCGAGTTCTTTGATTATTTCAAGGTAATATATATATATATATATATATATATATATATATATATATATATATATATATATATGTGTGTGTGTGTGTGTGTGTGTGTGTAAATAGAGTTAAGTATTAAATTTGTCCTTAAAACCACACGTGAATGGTTAAGATTATATTAGGTTAACTAATCTTAACCAATTGTGTGGTCAAGATTTGCACCTCACACACACAGACATCTAAATATATATACACCGTTTTTGCTTGTACTAGCTCTAAATTGTCGGGATCTGTCTCCTGCTACCAGGTTTTATGCATTCAAGGCTTCCTTACTTGCCGTAAGCATGCTGAGCGTGTTATTCTCCTGGTTGAGATGTTGCAGGTAATGTAAACGTTAGCTCCATGTGACCCACTGTTGTCCAATATTTACCATGTTTTTATTCATTAACCAGTTCCAATTTATCGTAAGAGAACAACAAGCTGTGTTATAGTCTACTTTTGGTTGTTAGTCCCCAGACATATATCTTGCTGTTCCCTACTTTCCTATGCTACCTTTTTCAATTTGTTTAATGTTCAGTGACTTAGCCTATCTAGTGATTGAAGTTCTTGCCTTTTCTTTCTTTAATCTTTTACATGCATACTCTATCCTATTCCCAGTCAGTGGGATGTGCACATAGCAGATGGCAGTTTTCTGACATAATCGCGGTAGTGAAGTTTGATCGGTATGTACCTGCATAATACCGTTAGGTTAAACTGAAAAGTGTGGACTGTCTTAAGACTACTTGGACAATTAAGTGCTTAAAATTCTCTACATGCATATTAGACATCTTTAAACTAGAAGATAGAAATAAATATGACAATTGATACCTTCCTTTAAACTTGTAATTTTTTTAATATTATTGATGAATGGGAAATATTTCTCTTTCAAATCATATATCTCCTTGCTTAATGTAATCAAATTATATCTCTAATATAATCATCTTATATCTCAATCTCTCGTCCTCAAACTAGAGTATATATTATTTGACTTAAGTTTGTTGCAAATGCCGAAGGGCACGGTGAAACACTACATGCCAGAAAAACATTGGTGATGAACAGTATCCACCAGGTAAACATTGTGAATAATACCTGTTGGAAAAATGTCAACAGTGAACAGTACCTATCGAAAAATTGGCAGGTAACATTACCTAAAGAAAAAACGCTTGTGGCAAACAGTACCAACTGGAAAAACGTCGACAGGGAACAATACCCCTCTAAAAAGATTGGTTACAAATAGTACCTGTTGGAAAATGTCGTGGTGAACAGTACCCATGGAAAAAGTTGACTGTGAATAGTGATAACAAAGCCTTTTGGAAACAGAATATTATCTCAATTTTTGTTATATTGAAAATTGGAATACATTTGTGTATTTACACACTCACAGGAACTCTGTTACACCAAATATTTACTCCCTAAAAACCAAAGAGTTCCATAACTATACTTCTCAATAGCATCATTCAATAAACGTTTTTCACACCAAAAGACATTTCAATTAATTCATTATTAATTTTACCTAACAAAACCCTCCCGTAAAAGTAATTCCTTGTATTAAAGAAAACTTGAGATCAACTTGGTTCTGACCTTCTAACTCCATCTAGTCGACTGTGTCTTCTACATCGTGAGGTTTCCGAGTTTCTTCCATCTTTCATTCCGTTTAGTCTTTTATAGTTCTCGAACAACACTAGAGGAAGTGGCTTCGTGAAAATATCAGCAACTTGATCTCTACCTGCCACATGCACGAGCTCCTTCCAAATTGTCAACTGATCGGTCTCCTTCCGATTTTCCCCAGTTTCACTCACTCGTTGCATCAAAACGAATATCCCGACTTACATTTATCTTTTCACTCCAACAACTTGTAAGCTACTCCATAAGCCAAACTTCTGAATATTTTGAGATGAGACTCAGTCTGTTTTTGACCGCTCCATGCCTCTTGTGGTGTCACACCATCTAGCTTTGCATACGAACACCTATTTTGCACGTAAACAACGCACTTTACCGCCTTGGCCTAAAACACTCTTAGCATATTCTTTGATTTCAATTGCTTGGACCATGTCAAGAACTGTTCGGTTCTTTCAGCCATATCATTTTATTGTGGTGAGTATGGGGCTATTAGGAATCTCCTTATTCCTTCATCTTCACAGTATTTATTAAAAGCACCTAACATGAATTCTCCTCCTCTATCCGATCAGATTGATCGGATATGCCACCCGATCACATTCTCAACCATCATCTTAAACTTTTTAAATACTTTCAAGTGCGTTGGATTTATCTTTCAGCAGATACACCTACGTCTTTTTATAAAAATCATCAACAAAAGTCATGCAATATTTGTTACCACTGAATTACTTAGGGGCAATCAGTCCACCACCTAGATCGGCATATATGAACTCTAGTTGACTCGCTCGGTGCTCGACACTCATCTGAAAAGGAGTCCTCGTCAATTTTTCGAGAACACAGTCTTTGCAAAATCTTCTTTCATTCTCCAAGCTCGGCAATCTAAGCACCACACTGTTGTTTGACAACTTGGCTAGCCCACCAAAATTCAAGTGGCCAAATTGATGATGCCAAATCAACATTGTGTCCTCCACATCAAGTTTCAGGTACTTCTCCCAAATACCTCCAACTACAACTTATACATCCTATTCTTCTCCATCTCAACACAAGCAACTAGCCTTCCGAGTTTGTCTCTCAACTGGAGCACACTGTCCTTCATAAAAACCGTGTACCCTTTCTCCATCAATTGTCCCATACTCAAATTGTTGCTTTTGAGATTGGGTACAAAATACACATCTTGAATCATCCCCATCCTTCTGTAAATAGCCGACAGTGTCGTGGCCTTTAACCGAGACTTTCGAAGCGTCTCCAAAAGAAACAATACCAACATTTGTCTTCTTTAACTCTTTGAAGAGACGTTCATCACTACACATGTGATTACTTGTCCTGTATCCAAGTACCATATCGAGCAGAGATGGGTATTGGCCCGAACTCCATCATTGTAATAAGCTCCCAAGTGAATGACTGAATTTAGATTGGCCATCAACAATGTTACTCCATTCTCCTTCTCTTCTGCTAGATAGGACTCACCTACCTTCTGACAATCTTTGGCAAGATGTCCCTTCTTTCCGTAATTGAAACATTTTCCTGAGTAGCAGTCCTTTTAATAATGACCATACTTGCTTCACTTAAAACTCGATGTTTGATTGATTCATCGATTGACCTCCTTTTGAACCACGTCCTTTTCCTCGTCAGTTCTGTTGACCTCTTTCTTCCTTCTCGTCACCTCAGCCACTGGATCTACCTTGGCTAGATCGGCCGCCTCGGGATCGACCACCACAACCTCATCCTCTTCCTTTATTTTTTTGTGAATAGAGTGCCTTCTCCTTTGTCTGAAGAAATTTTACATTCGTCTCCTTTTTCTTCATTCGGTGCTCGTAAGTTTCAAGAGAACCGATCACTCTTTTATTGTCATCTCGGACAAGTCCTTTGCTTGCTCTATCGCGCATACTACGTTCTCAAAGTCATTTGTTAACGACCTCAAGACCTTTTTAACAATTTGTTATGTTGAAAACGTTTCTCCGTTTTGAATTAGCAGTTTCACCACGTTTTCAACACGCAAGATGTATTCGAAAACTTTGTCCGACTCTTTCATCTTCATGCTCTCCATCTCAATACGCAGCGTCTGACGTCAAGCTCGAATGACTCGATCATCTTTCTTGTGTTCCTTCTCCAACTCGGTCTACGCATCGGATGTCAACTTGATTCCTACAATCTTTTCAAAATTGAAATCTTCTACAACTCGAAACAATAAAAACAGAGTTACACTATTCTTCAAACGTTTCTCTTTAAACATTCTGAGTGCGTTGGCCGACAATCCTTCCATGGTCTCCGGTTCTTCATAGCCGTCCTCTACCACATCCCAACAATCTTGGGCTGTGAAGAGAGCCTTCATCTGACACTCCATCTATTATAATTGACATCCTTCGTCAGTCGAGATACAAGTACAACAACATTTGTTAGACTAGCCATCTCACTCAAACGCTCAACACTTAACCTTAGCTCTGGATACCAATTTGATAACAAAGCCTTTTGGAAACTGAATATTATCTCAATCTTTGTTATATTGAACACTTGAATACATCTGTGTATTTATACACTCAAAGGAACTCTATGTTACACCAAACATGTACTCCCTATAAACCAAAGAATTCCATAACTATACTTCTCAATAGCATAATGCAATAAACGTTTTTCACACCAAAAGACATTTCAATTTACTCATTATTAATTTTAGCTAACAAATAGTACTTACTGGAAAAAGCGACAATGTTAAAAAAATGTTGATGTTGAACTATAGGGAAAAAAAATAGGAAACCATATACACAGTTTCTATATAATTTACACTGGGAAAGTAGGGTTTGGGTCCCTTCTCATTAGCTCTATTACCATGTTGAAAGAATTTGTGACAAAACAGGTCACAGAAGATGATATCGCCATGGTACTATGTTGAGAAGAAAAACCAAGAAGGAATTTAATAAATTCCATGTATTGTGTACACATGAGTATTCTTATTTATAATAAAGAAGATATATAGTAATAAGTAATAAAATTAATATCTAATAATGAAAATTATTTGGTATGATATTTCCCTATCAAGTCATATATCTTCCTATTTGATGAAATAAAATCATATCTCTTCCACACTCGAGGCATTTTGTTTACTGATTTTGAAATTGGTGACAGACCTGTGATGAGCCGGTCTCCATTTTGAGACAGTTAAGATAATCTCTAATGATATATTATGTTGGGAAGTCCCATGTCACCTACTTCACTTATTGGAGTGCTACTTATATATCTTGAGATGGAATCTAACGTGTATTAGAGTCTTGGCCCATTCTAGTAGTAAATAGTTTATTTTGGTATGCATGTGGAGGAGGGAAGGGGGGATATTGGGAAGTCTGGTATCACTTACCTCAACTCTGAGGGTGTTTGCTTTATATATTTGTTTGGCAACTTCACGTCCTGACAATTGGTTTTGAGATGAATCTAACCTATTATATTGAAGTCAAGCAATAATCAATTAATATCTGAGAATTAGGAGACATGAGAAAAGTATGTGTTTGATGTACAAATTTGTGATAGAGGATGAGAATGAAAACAAGCAATTCTTTGTAGATAGTGTATGTTCTAAATTATTTTTATAAGGAAATGGTGGATTGGTAATATCCAGCATGACTATATAGCCCATTGAATAACCATGCAGTTATCAGGCGGTTTATGCGAGATTGATGAGGCTCTAGTTTAATCTAGAGCATGTCTTATTGCGTGTGTACATTTTTTTCATTGCTATTATGAACGTGAATGGGCATGCGATGAGAAAATCAGGAAATGCTGTCATTCATGCTTGATTTTCTAAGCTAATAGTTTTCTAATGTTGTTATCAGGACTCTGATTTCCCCTGCTTTAAAGGTGGTCCACGGACAATACAGAACCTACGGAAGCGTTTCCATCTTAATTTAACAGAAGAGGTTTTAATACTAATATCAGTTGTTCTCTTAGCTGTAAATTCTTTTGCCCGTTTGCTACATCTTTTTCTCTCTCCTGGCAGCAATGTGTATCTTTGGTGCTTTCCCTCATTAGCAGCAGCCTGGATGCATGGCGGACAAGGCAGTATGATTATTACCAGAGGGTTTTGAACGGGATATTGTGAAATAGTTTGTCAATGGTGATTGTTTGCTTGTTCCCTTTTGACTAAAGCTCTCACGGTGATTGTTCATCAATTAGTATTTGCATTTACAAGTCATTGGAAGGTGGTTGGTTCACTGTGATACAGCTTTAGAGTTTTCTGAAAAGTAAGAATTAATAGATGGCAGAGTGCAGCCTCTATTCTCCTTGTGGTGGTGAGAGGAAGATTTTGACTCGCAAAAGTACTTTCCAGGCTTGGCTAAATTTACTTGAGCCGAGTCTTATTTTTCCATCCTTGTTCTTGTGGAAGCTCTGCTACCGGGAGAAATTGCATAAGCCCCCTAAATGCTGAGATAGTGCAAATTGTACAGTGATTTTAGCGGGAATACGTACCAGATTTATATTGGATGTGGACATGAGTTCTGTGTAAACTGTTTGATTGATTCATCAAAGTCTTGGGGTTGCGCTGCTGAGCACATACTGACCTGGTATCATATTGGATATCCGTTATCATGGGCAGACATCAGTGGCCAAACTGCTCTGTTATCTTTTCTGATCTCAGCTGATCAATTGGCGTCAGTCTTCCCAAAGTTGATTCTCCTATGCTTAAACTGGAAAATTATTCTCAAAATTCTTTGATGATGTTTGATTGTATCATGTATAATTGATCCTGTTTACTATCATGGTGAAATTTGTTCACCTTCGTATCTATCATAAAGTTTTGGTGGCATAGTATCTCGTGAGCTAGTTATTTACCTTTCGTTCATAATAAACTGTGTTTACAACTTTTGATTTCACAAAGCATGCTATTTTGGAATTATATTTGTCCGACATTTATGCACTTGGCAAATCCAATCACTGATTCAAAGTAGGTCTCCATAACAGGTTCAAGGATATCGAAATATTGATTATCATCTATTTATTTGAGGGTGATGCCTCAATTCGAAACGGATTGGTTTTGGAATTTTCATTTAGCGATTCAACTAAAGTATCTACAAGACAATAAAGATGACTATTACATAATAGGATTTGAATGATGATAGATAAGAATCTAATATAAAGGAAGCAAAATAATTTAGGAACCGTACCACCATGATAGTAGAAAAATCTGTCTTATCTTGAGTCTTGGGAGAAGGTAGTCATTATTCTAGAAATATTTAACAAGACCCTAAATCCTAGATAAAACTACACAAATACTTAAATCCTGTAGTTATGACTTTCTAAACCCTAAAAGAAACATATAACAGAGAAAAAAGAAATATTCGGTCTTCTTTTTATTCACTAAAACTCGCAGCTTTTTATTGAACCTTCAAAATATCTAAGATAATTTAAATTTTTTCTTAACTGTACATTTTAACGAGATAAACCTTTCTACTAAAGTAATTCAAGTTGTGTTATAAATATGTTTGATAAATGTATAATAATTAAAGTATATAACACCTAAAACATGATATGATGCTAGGTATGAAACTTGAAAAAATGAAAAATTTTTAGGCATAGGATGTTTGACACATTGTTGGAGTATAAACATAGAAAAAGATAGAAAACATTTAATTTAAAATAAATAAATAAATATTGTATATACTTCAACATTTTTTAATATTTTAATACTTTATATAAGATCTTTATTATATATATTTATATATTATTTTTTATATGTTACTATTTGATATTATATAATTTTTTTTATCTTTTAGATCCTATATAATAAGATAAGAGTAAATCTTATTTTAATATTTATTTTCTAATATCGTAAATTTCTTGTTAAACATTGACTTGAAAGTTTAAGTATTTTTTAATAAGTAGGTTCTTACTCTCCATGAAGATCACATCCTTCTATAATTCATCAATTGATCTTGTTTTACAATTTAGTAATTTAACACCTATTATGGTGTTTGGTAAAATGATCCTAGCAACCTCATCTATTTCATGGTGAGATAGATCTCACTGTTATTATCAACTTTCTCAAGAAACATATAGATAAATGTTAGCAAAAGAACCATGAAAAGATTAGGAACCAGCAATAATAAAATGACGTCAAACTAATACAAATTTAACAAAAAATGACTACAAACTTGGAATTGGTTCATAAACAATATCAAGTTGAACTTCAAATCCTACATAGTGAGTTGAAGATTCTCACTGAAAGACCCAAATCACATAAACCAAGTTATGTGGTCACTAATAGGCGGATACTACAACATCGAGTTGAGTGAAAACTTAACAATCACTCACTTGCATCAACTACTGACATGCGCTAAAACTCAATAATCTGAACATAAGATGAAACATCGATTTGAATACAAATAATAATAATAAAAAAACAATTTGAGCACAAATAAAAAAATCAATTCAAACATAATTGAAAACCTCAAAGTAAGACCGTGAAGGAGACATTTATAGAAAATAACACTAAGAGAGAACCCACAACGGAAGAAAATTCCCAACTTTCTCGTCGACATTTGTGACAACATTCTCGCTAACATACTCGCAAAATTGAGGTGTGCTAGGATTTTAATGATCAGCCATTCATTCCATGAATAATGGAAATTCCTTTTCCATCAAGATGGAAACTACTATATTAAAAAAATACGATGGCTCCATAAATTCAAAAGAATATTTGAAAATGTACAAAACACAAGTTAAGCTATGTTGAATATAGTGAAAACTAGGTATAGGGTTAATTCTCTTTTGTATCTTAAAATACACATAGGGTAATATATTTATAATTAAGAGTCATACAAGTAAATATAGTAAATGCATATATTGTGACTAATAATATCTAAACTATTTAACACTCCCCCTAGCTTATGCATATAAATCATACGTAGCAAACTTATTACAAATATAATCAATTATAGGTCCCCATAGAGACTTAATGAAAATATCTGCTAATTGTTCACTTGAGTTAACAAATGCGGTCTTAATGTCTCTAGATACAATTTTTTCTCGAATAAAATGACAATCAACTTCAACGTGCTTGGTTCTTTCTTGAAAGACAAGATTAGAGATAATATGAAAAATAACCTGATTGTCACATATAAGTATCATTTGAGTGATATCTCCAAATTGTAATTCTTTAAGTAATTGTTTAAGCCAAACAAGTTTACAAGTGGCTGAGGCCATAACTCTATACTCTACTTTTGCACTAGATCTTGCTACAACACTTTGTTTCTTGGTCTTCCAAGAGATTAAGTTAACTCCAATAGAAACACAATATCCGGAAGTAGATCTTCTATTAGTAAGAGATCCTGCCTAGTCAACATCTGAATAATAGACAACTTTAGCCTAGTTATTGTGATCATATAACAAACATTTTCTGGGAGATCCTTTAATGTACTTTATATACGAATGACTACAATCCAATGATCTGCACATGAGGAATTAAGAAATTGACTCACCACACTAACTGCAAAGGAAATGTCAGGACGAGTAACAATAAGATAATTTAATTTTTCAACTAATCTTCTGTACTTCTCAGGATCTAAGAGAGGCTCCCCCTAATTAGGTAGGAGTTTGGTATTGGGATCCATGGATGTGTCAACAAATTTTGAGTTCATCAACCTAGTTTCTTCTAAAATATCCAATGCATACTTTCTCTAAGATATAACAATGTCATCATTGGATTGTGCTACCTCAATCCCCAATAAATATCTAAGTTTGTCAAGATCTTTGGTCTGAAAGTGGTGACAAAGGTATTTCTTCATTTGGGAGATGCCGTGGTGATTACTCCCTGTAAGAACAATATCATCAATATATATTATTAAATAGATACACCCAACATTTGAGTGACAGTAAAATACTGAATGATCTGTCTCACTGTGAGTCATACCAAATTGTTGAACAACATTGCTAAATTTTTCAAACCAGGTCCTAGGAGATTGTTTTAGGCCATATAAAGATTTGTGAAGACGACATACCAATCCAGAAGACTCCCCCTGAGAAATAAAGCCTGGAGGTTGCTTCATATAAATTTCTTCCTGCAAATCTCCGTTAATAAAAATATTTGACATCTAGTTGGTAAATAGGCCATTGTTGAAGAGTAACCATGGCTATGAATAAGCAAACAAAAGTCATTTTTGTCACTGGAGAAAATGTGTCACCATAGTCTAAACCAAAAATTTGTGTGTAACCTTTAGTCACAAGATGAGCTTTGAGACAGTTAATAGTACTATCATGACTAACTTTGATCACAAAAACCCACTTACAACCAACAACAAATTTTCCAAATGGTAATGAGACAAGTTCCTAGGTTCCACTATTCTGAAGAGCACTCATTTCATCAAGCATGACCTGATGCCAACCAGGATGGGCTAAGGCATCACTAACGAATTTGGGAATTGACACAGAAGAAATGGACGAAAGGCAGGTATAAAAAGGTGGAGATAATTTATTGTAACTCAAAGCAGTATAATGAGGAGAGGGATTATGTAACCCCCCTTATGGATTACATATACTACCCTCTTAACATTAAATAGTTAAAACTCACCATCATAAATTTATGTATAAAAAATTTTAAAATTATTATTATAATGTCTTCATAAACATACCATACACTGATACATATCATTGTATATAGTTACAAAAGATTACTAAACTATACTTATAACTATAATTATTACTATAAATTCTTAACGCAACTCCCCTTCCTATGCTCTGGTATTGCATCATGATTCTAACATCTCGCATTTATAGCCTTCCAAAATCTGTTTCTAAAATATTTATGGGGTTAGACATTTAATCTTACCCACAGGAAACAAAGCAAACATTTATACGATAAAATCAAACAATGAAACATTCCTTCATAATAAGTTCATGACTATATATAAATATACAACCATATATAACTTAATTTGAAAATTTATTATGAGAAACTGTTAGACAAATGACATCTAGAGGGGGGTGAATAGATGCACAAATTAAATTAGATTCCAAATTAAAAATTTATTTAAGATGTCTAATAATTTGTTAATTTAATTTTAATTATCAGATAAAATATAGATAAAGCAGAAGTGATATAATCAGAGAGATAAAGGGAAAGGAAATAAGTATATGTTAGCAGAGGTATAAGGAAGAGAAAAACATACAGAAATTTATATTGGTTCAGGTATAGCCAACCCTACATCCAGTTCCTAGTCACCTCTAACACAAGAGTGACCCCAATTCACTATCTTTAAAATTCAATTTACAAATTACAATCAACTCAGCAGAAGAAACAGTAAAGAATAAACTAATTAAAAAGACAACCACCTCCTTAGAAACCACTAAGGATGAACACCTCCCTAGAATCCCACTAGGGATGAACACCTCCTTTGAACAAATCAAAGGATGAAAAACACCTCCTTTACCACCAACACACAAAAGGATGAACACCTCCCTTGAATCACACTAGGGATGAACACCTCCCCAAACAAATCAAAGGGATGAAAACACCTCCTTAGAATCCCACTAAGGATGAACACTTCCCTAGAATCACATTAGGAATGAACACCTCCCTGAACAAATCAAAGGGATAAAAACACCTCCTTAGAATCCTACTAAGGATGAACATCTCCCTTGAATAAATTAAGGGATGAACAAGTCATGAAAATAGAAACTCTAAACACAGAAACACACTGCTCAAGAGACAGTATGCACACCTAAACCCTAAAAAGGGGATTTAACAACAACCACTTAAACCCTAAATAGGGAATTTAACATCAACTTCCTAAACCCACAAAGGATGAAAGCAATAAAATAAGAACAATCACACTTGGGTAATGGAGACAACAAATTGTAGAAGCCTATAGAATGCCAACCTCCAAGAACAAGCATGATTAACAATGAAAGCACAAAAGACAGTAGAGAAGAGAGTTTTCTCAGAAGGTGTAAAATATTTTTGTTGCCTTGCCCAAAATTCTTTTCTCAAAACTAATTGAATATAAATTGAATTTTCGAATTATGTAATTGTGTGTTTTTTATTTTTCATCAAAACTTATTTAAATAGGAAAATAACATAAGAAAATAGTTGTTGGTCATTAATACTTTCGTAGAGAAAAATCAGGATGTATTAAAAAAAATTTATTCTTCAAAACAAATATATTTTTCAAATTTGAATTTCCATAATCGATTATGTTTCCAGTATAATCAATTATGATAGAGAGAAAATATTTTTTCCATTTCTGATGCATCATAATCAATTATGACAGTGAAAAATGTCATGTTACGAAATTTTTATCACACTTGTGCTTTGGAGTCTTATGCATAATACCACTTCATCAACTTGTACCTTCATATTCAGTATTCTAAGACTCTATCTAGTCTTCAGGAATCATCTTGGGTGTTGCCGCTGTCAAAGGAGGCGGTCAGAGCGACGTGATGGTATTCCGACTTCAGTTTTCGCAATTAAAATGTGAGGTTACAACGCCTTTAGCTTGTTCGATAACCGGGTTGAACCTGAGGGCGAGGTTTTCGAAAGGGAGCTTTTAGGTCGTCCGATAACCAGGCTGGACCTAAGACCAAGGTTTTTGAAAAGGGTTCTTATGGAGTCGCCACCGATGTTTTTACCGAAAACATCGGAAAAGGAAAAAAAGAAGGCATTGGTTTAAAGAACCAACTTTGGCCATTATAACCAGAGTCGGGTAAGGGAGTTAGTTACATGTGGGGAAGGTATTAACACCCCCACAACGCTCCTTTTGGGTTCCCTATGATAGACCAGTTATTTCATAAATAAACTTTAAAATGACGCTTTTACCCTTTTATTTGCGGAATTAAGAAAATAGTGACTACATGGCCCTAGTAGCTAATGTACAGATAAATATAAATAAAAGGCGGTAAAAGAGAGGGAGAAAGTGAAGAAACCTCTGGAACAAGCTTTCTTGATTAATTATCTTAAAATAGGATACTTTTTGGCAGCCCTTCGCTCTATGACGTCGATCGCTCTTTCACACAATGTTAAAAACACTCTCTAAGAACACTCAGAAAACTCCAGAAATGCTTCAGAGAGGCTCTAGGAGAAGAATTTGAAGAAATGATAGAAGGAGAAGTTAGGCAAGGAGAAGAAGTCAAGGATGGAGAAATAGTTTGGGATGGGGAAGAAGTGAAGGAAGGAGAAGAGGTTAAGGAAGAAGAAGAAGTTTTGGATGGAGAAGAAGTTAAGGGTAAAGAAGAAAGTATGGATGGGGAAGAAGTTTGGGATGGAGAAGAAGTTAAGGAGGGAGAAATGATCATGGATGGAGAAGAAGTTAAGGAAGGAGAAGAAATTAGGGATGATGAGGAAGAAAGTAAGGATGGAGAAAAAGAAGTTATGGACGGAGAAGATGTTAAGGAAGGAGAAGAAACTAAGGAAGGGGAAGAAGTTAGGGAAAGAGAAGAAGTTTGGGATGGAGAAGAAGTTAAGGATGGAGAAGAAGTTTGGGATGGAGGAGAAGTTTGGAATGGAGGAGAAGAATCAAAGTATGGAGAAGAAATTAAGGAAGAAGAAGTTTAGGAAGGAGAAGAAGTTAAGGAAGAAGAAGATTTGAATGGAGAAGAAGTTAAGGATAAAGAAGAAAGTATGGATGGGGAAGAAGTTTGGGATGGAGAAGAGTCTACTAAGTATGGAGAATAAATGAAGGAAAAAGAAGTTAAGGAAGGAGAAAAACTTTTGGATGGATTAGATAGGAGATTATAATTAAGAATGGAGAAGAAACATGGGATGTAGAATGAAGTTAAGGAAGAAGAAGAAGTTAAGGAGGATGGAGAAGAAGTTAGGGAAGGAGAAAAGGTTAAGAATGAAGAACAAGTTAGGGAAGGAGAAGAAGTTAAGGATGGAGAAATAGTTTGGGATGGGGAAGAAGTGAAGGAAGGAGAAGAGGCTAAGGAAGAAGAAGAAGAAGTTTTGGATGGAGAAGAAGTTAAGGGTAAAGAAGAAAGTATGGATGGGGAAGAAGTTTGGGATGGAGAAGAAGTTAAGGAGGGAGAAATGATCATGGATCGAGAAGAAGTTAAGGAAGGAGAAGAAATTAGGGATGATGAGGAAGAAAGTAAGGATGGAGAAGAAAAAGTTATGGACGGAGAAGATGTTAAGGAAGGAGAAGAAACTAAGGAAGGAGAAGAAGTTAGGGAAAGAGAAGAAGGTTGGAATGGAGAAGAAGTTAAGGATGGAGAAGAAGTTTTGGATGGAGGAGAAGTTTGGAATGGAGGAGAAGAATCGAAGTATGGGGAAGAAATTAAGGAAGAAGAAGTTTAGGAAGGAAAAGAAGTTAAGGGAGAAGAAGTTTTGGATGGAGAAGAAGTTAAGGATAAAGAAGAAAGTATGGATGGGGAAGAAGTTTGGGATGGAGAAGAATCTACTGAATATGGAGAAGAAATGAAGGAAAAAGAAGTTAAGGAAGGAGAAAAACTTTTGGATGGATAGGATAAGAGATTATTGTTAAGGATGGAGAAGAAACTTGGGATGTAGAATGAAGTTAAGGAAACAGAAGAAGTTAAGGAGGATGGAGAAGAAGTTAGGGAAGGAGAAAAGGTTAAGAATGAAGAACAAGTTAGGGAAGGAGAAGAAGTCAAGGATGGAGAAATAATTTGGGATGGGGAAGAAGTGAAGGAAGGAGAAGAGGTTAAGGAAGAAGAAGAAGAAGAAATTTTGGATGGAGAAGAAGTTAAGGGTAAAGAAGAAAGTATGGATGGGGAAGAAGTTTGGGATGGAGAAGAAGTTATGGAGGGAGAAATGATCATGGATGGAGAAGAAGTTAAGAAAGGAGAAGAAATTAGGGATGATGAGGAAGAAAGTAAGGATGGAGAAGAAGAAGTTATGGACATCGAAGATGTTAAGGATGGAGAAGAAACTAAGGAAGGAGAAGAAGTTAGGGAAAGAGAAGAAGTTTGGGATGGCGAAGAAGTTAAGGATGGAGAAGAAGTTTGGGATGGAGGAGAAGTTTGGAATGGAGGAGAAGAATCGAAGTATGGGGAAGAAATTAAGGAAGAAGAAGTTTAGGAAGGAGAAGAAGTTAAGGAAGAAGAAGTTTTGGATGGAGAAGAAGTTAAGGATAAAGAAGAAAGTATGGATCGGGAAGAAGTTTGGGATGGATAAGAATCTACTAAGTATGGAGAAGAAATGAAGGAAGAAGAAGTTAAGGAAGGAGAAAAACATTTGGATGGATAGGATAAGAGATTATAGTTAAGGATGGAGAAGAAACTTGGGATGTAGAATTAAGTTAAGGAAGCAGAAGAAGTTAAGGAGGATGGAGAAGAAGTTAGGGAAGGAGAAAAGGTTAAGAATGAAGAACAAGTTAGGGAAGGAGAAGAAGTCAAGGATGGAGAAATAGTTTGGGATGGGGAAGAAGTGACGGAAGGAGAAGATGTTAAGGAAGAAGAAGAAGAAGTTTTGGATGGAGAAGAAGTTAAGGGTAAAGAAGAAAGAATGGATGGGGAAGAAGTTTGGGATGGAGAAGAAGTTAAGGAGGGAGAAATGATCATGGATGGAGAAGAAGTTAAGGAAGGAGAAGAAATTAGGGATGATGAGGAAGAAAGTAAGGATGGAGAAGAAGAAGTTATGGACAGAGAAGATGTTAAGGAAGGAGAAGAAACTAAGGAAGGAGAATAAGTTAGGGAAAGGAAAGAAGTTTGGGATGGAGAAGAAGTTAAGGATGGAGAAGAAGTTTGGGATGGAGGAGAAGTTTGGAATGGAGCAGAAGAATCGAAGTATGGGGAAGAAATTAAGGAAGAAGAAGTTTAGGAAGTAGAAGAAGTTAAGGGAGAAGAAGTTTTGGATGGAGAAGAAGTTAAGGATAAAGAAGAAAGTATGGATGGGGAAGAAGTTTGGGATGGAGAAGAATCTACTAAGTATGGCGAAGAAATGAAGGAAGAAGAAGTTAAGGATGGAGAAGAACTTTTGGATGGATAGGATAGGAGATTATAGTTAAGGATGAAGAAGAAACTTGGGATGTAGAATGAAGTTAAGGAAGCAGAAGAAGTTAAGGAGGATGGAGAAGAAGTTAGGGAAGGAGAAAAGGTTAAGAATAAAGAACAAGTTAGGGAAGGAGAAGAAGTTAAGGATGGAGAAATATTTTGGGATGGGGAAGAAGTGAAGGAAGGAGAAGAGGTTAAGGAAGAAGAAGAAGAAGTTTTGGATGGAGAAGAAGTTAAGGGTAAAGAAAAAAGTATGGATGGGGGATAAGTTTGGGATGGAGAAGAAGTTAAGGAGGGAGAAATGATCATGGATGGAGAAGAAGTTAAGGAAGGAGAAGAAATTAGGGATGATGAGGAAGAAAGTAAGGATGGAGAAGAAGAAGTTATGGACAGAGAAGATGTTAAAGATGGAGAAGAAACTAAGGAAGGAGAAGAAATTAGAGAAGAAGTTTGGGATGGAGAAAAAGTTAAGGATGGAGAAGAAGTTTGGGAGGGAGGAGAAGTTTGGAATGGAGGAGAAGTGTCGCCGCCGTCAAAACGAGGCGGTCGGAGCGACGCGATGATTTTTTTTACCCTCTTTGATTTTCGCGTTTTTTTATGGATGGGTACAACGTCCTTAGGTTTTCCGATAACCGGGCTAACTTAGAGAAGAGGTTTTCGAAAAGTGTTCTTGGGTTGTCCGATAACCGAGCTAACCCAAGAATGGGTTTTGAAGGGTTCGTGGAGTCGCCACCGATGTTTTTACCAGAAACATCGGAAAAGGAGTTTAAAAAGGCGTTGGTTTTCGAAAACCAACTTTGGTCATTAGAACCAGAGTTGGGTAAGGGAGTTAGTTACGTGTAAAGGAAGTGTTAGTTCCTTTACGACGCCCCTTTCGGGTTCCCTATGATAGGCCGGCTACTTTGGATAAATAATTAAACTGGAAAATTACGCTTTTACCCTTTTATTATGCGGTATTTAAAGATTATGACTACATGGCCCTAGCGTCTATTGCATAATTTTAAATGAAAGCGGTAAAATTAGGAAGAGAGAGGATGCACCTCCAAAGCAAGCTTTTTATATTTCTCTTTTAAAGAATGGGTGCTTTTTGGCAACCCTTCACTCTACAACTCTCAGAAACTCCGGAAATACCTCGGAGGGATTCTAAAGAAGATTTAGAACGCTCAATTTATGCCTAGAGACACTCAGAAACTCTGGAAATGCTTCGGAGGGATTCTAGAGAGAGAATATCTAGAGAGAAGGAGGAGCTACTGTGCTTGGTTTGGTGAAATGAGGGGAGGGAGCCCCTATTTATAGGTTTTCGCGCCTGACAGTGGCGAGACCGCCGGTCTTGTCTGACAAGGTCGAGACCGCCGTCTGGAAAATCCAGACCGCCGTCTCGACCATGCAGGGTGTCGAGACCGCCGTCTGGAAAACCCAGACCGCCGTCTCGACCTTTGCAGTGGCGAGACCGCCGTCTCGACAAGCGAGACGGCGGTCTCGTCCCTGGCGTGAGGCGAGACGGTGGTCTGGTCTTCCCAGACGGCGGTCTCGTCCCTTCAGGCGCGAGAACTTTATTTTTCGGGCCAAAAAACCCTCCTATCTTAGTACGGGGGCCTAATAGTCTCTCCTAATGGTTTGTTAGGCTTTCTGGCTTTATTTGGAGGCCGGGCAAGATTTGGGGTCTATAGCTGCCCCCCCTTTACCCGACCAGTCGACTGCTGGCCTTTTGTGCCGAGGTGATCGACTGGAGGGTAAAGGAGTTGACCCTCTTGCCCGGTTACCCTTCAGATACTCCGTCTTTGCGGCGGATGATCTTCTGGGGAAATGTTGTGTTATGCGCTTCGGGATACTCCTTCGACGCGGTAGCCGACCCCTTCGGCGATGAGTACGAACCCCCATCCGGTTTGACGAGTACTAACCCCCGCCGGTAAGCCCCCTTTTGTAAGGCTCGATGAGTTTACACCCCCATCCGGTGTTTGACGAGTACGAACCCCCGCCCGGTAAGCCCCCTTTTGTAAGGCTTGATGAGTTTACACCCCCATCTGGTGTTTAGCCTCCAGATGCTCCATCTTGCGGTAGCTGATCCTTTGGTTGACGAGTACGAACCCTCGTCTGGTTTTGGTGCCTCCGGATGCCCCCTCTTGCGGTAGCTGATCCTTTGGTTGACGAGTACGAACCCTCGTCTGGTTTTGGTGCCTCCGGATGCCCCTTCTTGCGGTGGCTGATCCTTTGGCAATGGTGGCGGCTTACTGATTCTGACCATGCGCCGATGTGAAACCTCGGGATGCTCCTTTGACGCGGTAGCTGACCCCTTGGCTGACGAGTATGAACCCCCGTCTGGTTATGTGCCTCTGGATGCCCCTTCTTGCGGTGGCTGATCCTTTGGCAATGGTGGCGGCTTACTGATTCTGACCATGCGCCGTCTCCCTGGGGGGTGATTTCGTGTTCGTGCACTTCCAGGATACTACTTCGACGTAGCCGATCCCTTCGGTGGACACATGGTAAAACCTCGGGATACTCCTTCGATGGTAGCCGATCCTTCGGTTGATGGGTATAAACCCCCATCGAGTCGGTAGTTGCGATCCGTTGTGTGGGACTGGATGGGTATGAATCCCCATCGGGGTGGTAAATGCAGTCCGTTGTTGAGATGTGTTCTGTCTTTGTTTTTTGTCTTTTCTGGGAATTGTCGTCCGATCTGTGCCGGGGATTCTGTTGGTGTTCGTCCAGCTTGTTGATTGCTGGGGATTCTTTGTTTTTGATCTTTTGTGGTGGTCATCCGACTTTGCTGGTTGTCGGAAATTTTTTGATAAGTGCCTCTTAGGTAGGCAGGAATCCTTTGGGGATTTGTTGATCTTGGTGACGCCTCTTGAGTAGGCGGATATCCATTGAGTTTTTTGTTGATTTTGATGGTGCCTCTAAGTAGGCAGATGCTCTATTGAGTTTCTGGTAATGCCTCTGAGTAGGCAGATGCCTCATCGGAAGTGAAGACTTTTGGCTGCATTTTTCTTTGCCTCTGGATAGGCTAATGTTGCTTTTTTGCTTGCAAGGTTTTGCCTATGCGTTCCACTAGGGATATCCATGTTAGGTGATATAGGCAAGTAACTTTCTGAGGATATGCGTTTGAAGTTTTGCCTTTGCAATAGGCTCTCTGGGGGTAAGTTTTTTGGCGATCCACCAGGGAATTGGTCGACTCCTTGGGGATCTAATTTTGGTCGCCCTTTGGGGAATGGAGTTGTGACTCCTTGTTTGGTGTTGATGAGAGCTGGTTTCTTCAGGCTCTTATTCCTCTGGGGAAATGGAGTTTTTTTGTTTTTTGTTTACTGTGCCTCTGAGTAGGCGGATGCTTCATTGGTGAAGACTTTATACCTTGCTTGCCTCCGAATAGGTTGATGTCCCTTTCTGGGGAAATGGGCTCTCGCTTGCCAGATCTTGCCTATGCCTAGGCAAATGACTCTTCTAAGGATGTGAGTCTGAAATTTGCCTTTGTCGTAGGCTCACTGGAGATGATTTTTCTCTTTTTGATGATCCGCCGGGGATTTGATTGTTTACCCGAAGATCTATTTTGTCTTGCCCCTTAGGGAGAAATGGAGTTTTTGACTCCTTGTTGAATGCTGTTGTTTTGAGCTGGCTTTGCCTATGCTCTTATTCCGCTGGGGATGATCAAGCCTTTCCGTTGGCTTTTTCTGGTGTACCTTCGTTTATTGGTGTAGAAGGTTAGAGCTATTTTCCTTGAAGCTCTTTATTCTGCTGCAATGGTTTTGATTTCGCCTTTTTTCCATGATTTATCTCTTTTTTATCGCGATTTTGAAATCTGGCTTTTGTGGGGATAATGCGTAAGCCTTTTTACTTTTTAGTCTCTTTTTATTACGCTGGCTTTTTCCTTTCTTTTTGGGGAAGGTCCACTAGGGATGACGTTTTATTTCTTTAGTGATCCACCAGGGAATTAGTTGACTTCTTGGGGATCTAATTTTTCTTTTCTAGGAATGGAGTCTTGGCTCCTTGATTGATGTTGATGCGAGCTATACTTGTGAAGCTCTTATTCCACTGGGGGATGGAGATTTCCTTATTCATCCTTTTTTGTAGGGAGATCCACTTGGGGATTTTTATTCGACCTTCTCTGTTGCGACCCTTTCTTTTGGATATCCGCTGGGGATGCAAGGGTTTTCTTCTTTTTTCTCTTTATGTTGAGCCCTTGATGGTATGGAGATCGGACTCTTTTGACTGTTGATGATGATGATGATGGGCTCTTGGAGCCTTTATTCTCCGTTGGGGAGTGTGGAGGAGACTTTGGGTGGGTGTGCTCGATGACTCATGTAGTGGTAATGTTGAGCCGTGAGGAGTGTTTTTGTGTTGCCTCTGGAGTAGGCAAGGATCCTCTTGGGGATAACTAAGCCTTTCCGTCGGCTTTTCTTTTATGATGTCTGATGGTTGTGCCCTCTTTTATTGGGTGATGATTAGAGCTTTGACTTCTGGAAGCTTCTTATGACAACTCGCTCTTCTTTCTTGAGGGAGAGCGATGTTTGGAGACTTATTAATTTCTTGTGCCTTCTTTTCTGGGTAGAAGGATGGTAGCTGGAGCTCTTGATTTTCAGAAGATCTTATTCCGCTGAGTCACTTGATTGACGACTTGCTCCATTTTCTTGAAGACTTTATTTTGGAGACTCGGTCTCAGTGATCTTGTTTTCAATCACAAATATGGAGCTAGTCTCCTTATATGCATGAATGCTTCTTTTTTTTGTTAGTTATCTGAAGTGATTTTTTATTTATTTACCTTGACAAAGTCGTTTTGTGCGACTACTTGTGTGTGGATGCAATCTTTTCTTTTTGATTGATGCATCTGGAAAAGTGACTGGCATTCTTCTGTTGGACTCTCATGATTATGATGAAGGACCCCTCTCTTTTATTCATTTTTTGGTTTAGCCCTAACTTTTGCCTAGACCGCCCTTTTGGGGTTTTCGGTCTAGCGGGCTGCCTTACTTTTTGCCTAGGATATCTTAGCGGGCTTTTTCCTTTTTTATGAATGCCCTAACTTTTGCCTAGACCGCCCTTTGCGGGTTTTCGATCTAGCGGGCTACCCTAACTTTTGCCTAAGAATCTCCTAGCAGGCATTATTCTTTTTATTGTCATTTTTTCTTTCTCTTCTTTTTTGAGAGATAGGAGCCTATCATATGCATGCAATGTTTGTGATATGCATCCTATAATACTATTTCAATTAATTTTTCAAAAGGATTAACCAATGTGCTTGAGCTTCTGATGAGCTTCTGCCGTTATCTGCTTTCGTCGATAGGGATAGGTTGTACCAATTTTGCCGTCTTGATTTTTTCATGACCGAAGAATGATTGTGCTAATTGCAGAGCGACTTGCCATGTTAGTGCGCCCCTCCCTTTCCTTGGGGATGTCGATCCTCCTATTGATTACTATATCCACATTTCCCTACTAATTACTAGAATGTCGTAGTAGTAAGGGTCAAGAGAAGAGAAAGAAGATGATATTTAATTCAAAGGCTTGTGTTTTAGAATTGTTTTATTTTGACAAAAATGGTTTTTGTAAGCACGGCTAGCCAAGGTTGGTTAGAGTGTTT